CCCTATCGGTCGTGTGTATGTATATGTACTAAACTCGCATACTACTGTTTAGCATTTAAATATTTTACAAAGTTTGGTACTAACGAAGAACGGGTGTTTGTTATCGGTAAATACATAAGCGTATTGCTTCTACTGTGATCATCAATATCTTCTTTTTTGCTATCGTAAACGTTGTGTCGACTTTTGTCTAACACTTACGTTTAATAATCACTATAGTTTTATACCATGTCGTGTCGACGCCACCGTATCTGACCACCGTTCATTTATTATTATTAATAACTATTATATTCTAATAAATATTATCATATTAAAACCGTTTTAAAATATTGGAAATACATTTTTAAATTAGGTGGCTGGGGCGGGGGGGGATTACGAGTGAACTCTCGAAGCATTTCTTACCTAACCTGCCCAAAAAATGTTTTGCCCCTCCCGTTTAAAAATACTGGTCACACAACTAATTTGAATCGTTCCATTTTACCAGTAAACCCGGCAAATATTACTCTGCAGTTTATTATTTTTTTCGTGTTCTACCGTCGGTTTTGGTTGTAGTTGTTTTTGGCTCAAGTCCACAGTATCGTTTCAGCAGATTTATGGATATTGAAACGCGGGACTTAAAATCTGACATCGGGACTAAGGGATGCACGGAAAAATATTCCGCACCGTTTGTCGTTCTTGGACCGTCGCCGGGTTAACTCGCCCATGAATTCTGTACCAAAGCAGTCCATATAATGTTATTCTTTAAAATACAATATAATCAAGAAAACGGTCGTAGTCCGGGAAACGAGCAACTTAGCAGTTGATATTTTTCTCTGCAAATGCGTTCACGAAATTCCTGGGAAGTAAACAACATATTAAGTTTAAACGATTTAATGCTGATTGCATTACTTGTACATTCTGTATCATACATATTACATTAACCACCTTCAGGGGCTTATTTAGGCCGGGGCCTAAGCCCCGGGGCTCCCAAGGTATGTTTAAATTGGGGGCCACAGGAACATTATCATTACATACAAAAAAAAAACAATTTTTTTTTAAATTGTACATATTTACGTAGCAAAAAAATTGGATCTTAAACACGAAACGAAAAAATATTTACAGCGGTAATGTTCATTATCTTGTATATTATTATCTAATAATAAACATCACTGCTTTTTAAAACGGGTAGTTAGTTATATAGATAAGCTATTCTAAAAATATTGTTTCTAAAGTAGCCACTATGATGTAGACATCGCAGTTCTATTACATGATTACTTAATGATTAAATTTTAATCTATTATGATTTGTACGACACGTCCGTTGTCGCTTATCGGGTTGTCTACTACAAACATATTATATTAAATTAGTATTTATATTTACATTTTACATTTACTTAATATATTATTTAAATAAATATATTTAAATATTTTTGCTATTTTGCTTATTAATAATGTTTAAACGAGTTCATTTGAGTGGAAGTTTAAAAAGGAAATTAAAAAAAACAACGCATTGAAAAAGAAAAACTACTCCCATGAATAAATAATTTTTTGAATGGAGATGCTTTTGAAAATAATTCAAGTTTATGTACGACTGTAAAATCTACGCTTGCGGAAACAACTGATATTGTGAGTAGTTTAAAATATCCAGTTTATAATAGTTTAAATAAAATAAATGTTATACTAAAGTGTAAAACCGAATTGTTGTTTATTCAGTTATTCAGTACTATTTGACCAAGTCGAAAGTACCGATAAAATGAACGTATTTTAGTATTATGGCTTAAAACGTAAAAGCTAATATTTTTTTTTTTTATTGATAAACACAATCATTAATTCCATCTACGCTTTCGACTATTCAAATTTCTAATATTAATAAAAATTTCGAAAAAACAACTACTGTAGATTGTGTGAATGATGAAACTGAATGTTCAATAAACCCAGATTTATCAGAAACAAACACAATCAATGACCATAGGAGATTTTCCAATCGACAAAGCTTTTTTTACAAATACATTGAACAGATCGAATAACATTTTTATTATTTTTAATGGACCGTGTCAACCAGATGGCCCATTTTCGAAAAAAATGATTGGTAACAAATATCGTTCATTTTCTACAGCATATTATAATGAAAAAAGTCAAGGGGTTGTATCGTTTCATCGTAAATGGATTTGTTACTCAAAATCACTTGATTTAGTTTATTGTCAACCATGTTGGTTATTTTGTACATCGAGTTTATGGGCCAATGGTATGAATGATTGGAAAAATATTTCGGATAAAGTTAAATTGCACGAAAAATGTTTATCCCATATAATTGCTTGTCTTACTGTAGACCCATGGGAAAAAAATAATATTTTACCTGTAGAATAAAAATCTCGAATTAGCGTAGAAGTTGGATTTTGGAGGTAAGTCATAAACGTATTATAAATGTTACTCTAACGCTAAACCAGTTAGTGGAGTA